GCGTAGGATGATCTGTTTGCCCTTACAGTAGAATTTTATAATTAATTTAGAAAAGTTCCAAGAGACATCACCTAGTGTAGTCAGCCATTCTATACCAAGCACTGCCTCATAGTCATCGATTGGTAGGAGGAAGAAATCGGTGATAATTTCTTGGTCTTGCAGTAATAGTTTCACCTGTGGGCATCTTTGGTCGCACTTTAGGATTCTGCCGTCGGCAACCTTTACATCGAACTTGCTGCAACCTTCAATATGTAGTGTCATCCGAGCAGCAACCTTACTATTCAGGAAGTTATTAGTGCTACCCGTGTCGATGAGAACAGTGATCGACTGTTGTTTGAGAAGGCCTCCAACTTTCATCGTTTGCGGATTTGAGTAGCCGGCTAGTGCGTGTACCGTAATGTCGGTCGGCTGTGGCTCTTCTTCCATATCTTCTTCTTCATGTTCAAGGCTCTCTTCTAGATGTTCAATGACCTCTTCTTCTAGATGTTCAATCATAAGAAGTCTACCTTTTTTACAGCGATGCTCGCGGCTCCACGGCTCGTCGCAATGCCAACACAACCCCTTCGCAGATCGCTCCCGAAGTTCTTCTCTTGTTAACCTTTTTGGTGCAGGGACTCGGTTGATAGTAGGGGGGGCTGAGGGCTTTAGTATTGTAGGTCGTGGAGTGATCCTAGTCCTCCGGGCTTCATGGTTCAATCGCTCCTCTTGAAGTCGTGCGAAAGAGATGGCTGCCATAAGCGTGTATGGTTGTCGCGCCTTAACTTCTCCCCGGATCTCCGACTTTAAGCCCTCAATAAAGGTCTCCAATAGTTGTTTTTCAGACCAATCACGAGTTTGATTAGATAACCTTTCAAACCTGGTTTGGTACTCCTGAATGGTGGAGGTTGGTCGGATCTTTGCTAGTTGTCCGTCAATATTCTCGTAATAAGTTGGTCCGAAGCGGATCAGTAGTCCTTCTTTGAATTGTCGCCATGAAAGGACTCTATAAGTGTGTTCAAACCAATCAAACCATTGTATGACATCCCCTTCAAGATGTATAGCTGCAATTTCCACCATGGATGCATCCGCAGTTTTATGGTACCGAAAATATCGCTCCGCGCGCGAAATCCAACCAATTGGGTCTCCTTCTTCCCATCTAGGGAAGTCCACTCTCATGCGCGAATAGTTGGGGTTGGTTATAGAGCCTCCCCTCTCTTGGAAGTCATCTCTTTGGGCATGATGTGATTGGTTAGAGCTCTCTCCTTGATATGATTTTTTCGGGCTTGGTGGTCGGCCCAAACTGAATTCGGTAAGGAGAGTCCGAATCTTATCATCCATTCGTGCCTCAAAGGCTTCAAATTTAGCATTGATTGCCTCCTCAGATGTCATAGTATATGACCCTAAATCTGTGATGTTAAGATCTCTCTTTTGTTGACGGGTTAAGGGCATGTATAGGTTTGATAGAAATCAGTGAAAGTTTGCTGCAGAATTGTGTTGTCTTGTAAGAGCAGAATTATCGTCGAAGAAACAACGGTTTCTCAACGAAATCTTCACCAAAAATTTGAGAGATTTGAGGAGGAAATTGACAGTAATATCTTAGTTTATATGACAGAGAAAATATAGTATCAAGATCAAACAAACAGTGCTATGCGGCTGAAATTCTGCAATGTATCTTTCGTTGTAGAGATGAAAACTTTATGACAAAAAGTTTATGCAGCAATATAGGAACATTTATTTTTTTTTGGATTTTCGGATAGGGATAACTAAATTGCAGCAGCAGTAAGGTAGGAAACCAGAACCTGTTGCAATTCACGGGATGATCCGCGGTGGTGGAGATGATGACGGAATTTGGCGACGATCTTTTAAGCAATTGTGGGAATTGCTTTGGACAGTTGTGGAGGGTTGATGGATGGCAGTGGAAGGGCAACGAGATGCCAAGAACGCTGCTCTGATACCAGGTGTTAGAACCCTTGCAGATTCTAAACTTGGGGTTGATCTCTTTAGGGGATCGACCTCCTTGGAACTCTATAGGGGTTCCTCCCTCCAAGTTGCTGCTCAAAGGCTGCAGAAAAGATTCATCTATTGCTTATGACAAGAGGAGGAATACATGGATATTTATAGGGCTTCTAAACCCTAACTCCTAATAGGATTCTTACTCAAGACTCCTACTTCTAACCAACTCCTAATATGACTCCTACTTAAGACTCCTATTCCCTTATAACTCCTAATTCTTCTCTAAGAAATAACCTCATAACCCTAGCCGGCCTCTTCACCTCTTTAATAAGAGTCGGCTTAGGTAGATTTTACATGAATGTCCCTCTCAATTAGGACTCTCCTAGCTAGAGTCCTAACAGTGCTTGATATTGCTTCTTTTCTGGTTCATTTTAAATATCTTCTTGTCTCTTAAATAGTAAAGTATCTTTCTTTCTATTTGACTTTTGATTTCCTGAATTGAACTTTTGTTGTTTGTCTATTGCAGCATCAACTTTGGAATCTTGCTCAAAGGACTACTGCCCTTCCCTTTGGCCGTGGAGCATTCACTTTAGCTTCTACGTATGCTGTGTTGACCGAGGTATATTTTTCTTGTAGAGAAACTTTACTAATAGTGCCATTGGGAGCCACACATATTAGATAAACTCTTCTCTCTTTGTACATGTAAAATATTTCTGGTCATTCCTGTATTTTGTTCGATATTAATTGTAGTACTATTTGTTTCATGCATCTTTTGTAGGCACTTCATGTCCCAAAGCTTGTTTTGGCTGGCAGATTACCTGCACAACAAAATGCTACTGTATGGCGTGTTCCTTCCTCTGCAAATTTAATAAGCTTTTGTATTGGTTGTTGGCTGTTCTCTGATTATGCTTTTTTTTACTTTGTTGTTCTATTGCCACTATGATTCTGCATACCTCATGCTAATAATCCGGATTCTAATATAAAGATAAAGATACTATGCATACGTATTGAAGTTTCCCATGCAACTAGCTGTAGCTATGGGTCATCATTATGTATAGAGCATCATATTCATGCTCTTCATCTCATGGACTAGTTCCCTCTCTATTGCATTGGCCATACTTAATGTTACCTATGGATTAGTATCTATACCAAGGTCTTCAATTTCAAATAATATCGTCCAGTACGGGTTGTACGTATTGGTCTGTTAGCAGACTAGTACACGGACCGTCCGTTACTGG